TGTGTCTAATATGAGCAATTTACCTGGCATATTTCTCCATCTCCTTACTCCATCTCCTAATACAAAGGCTGAAAGTAAAAACTTCTACGAAAGATAAAATATCTTGAAAGTAAGGTACCCTTACCTTGCTCACACCCATGTCAGACAACCTTCAGAAGACACCTTATTATAAAGCAGAAGATAGCTTTTGCATCACAATGATTAAAAGAAATACAAAGTCCTCCCATCGCAGGTTAGGCTATCTGCTCTCTTTCAGAAGTCTGACGCTCATCTAATCTCACATCTGTTTTAAGCCTGAGAGTTATCTTTCATTTCTTTAATTCCACCCCCTCTTTTTTTCAGTGAGGAGATCATTTTGGAAACTTTCCTTGAATCAATGAACAGACCTATGTCGAGCACATACAGTCATATTCATAAGTGATACATGAGTGGGCATGTAAATGTGAGCTTTGATTCTGAAGGACTACAAGTCTTTTCAGCTAGGTTACAAGTTGATTCATGAACTATTTCAACAGACACAAACATTAGTTAATTCATGGTGCTCTCAGAAGCCTGCCAATCAATCAGTAAGTTATGCTGTAGATGTAAACTGCATGTAATCAGGAGACCACTTTAAATCTTATTCAAGATACAGTGAAGGAGACTGATCTGCTTTCACTTAAACAGACTTATTACTTCCTTGATGCAGCTGGTTATAGCAGGGCTCTTTCTGACCAAGGAGCCTCAGACATGAAAGAAATCAGAACCAAAGAGTCACTGAACTCTATTCACATTCTGGGAAATCAAGATCATGCAAATAAATCTAGTACCAGCTGAAGAAAGTGTAATTCTGAACTGAAGAGATCATGAAAACACTAATGTCAAATTGAATTTAGTAACTTCTACTATTGCACCAAATTTATTACATTTTATACATCGGCACATGGTGTGGTACTGCGATGGCCAAAATTGCATTTATTTTTTAGAAGGCTGTAATTTCATTCATAAAACCAAAGAAATATATTACGCTTGCACACAATGTTAAACTTTTAGATTCTTTACACAAATATAGATCACCAGTAGCAGGCAGTAAAATGAAGATAATTTCAGCTAAATGTGGAAGTTCCAGTTTTACAATCCCAATTAATCAGAAGTTAGCCACTTCTCTAGACTTTGCCTATGTCTGCAAATCTTCATACTCTAAGTGTTCTGGCAATCACCTTATTATGTGTTTCCTGATAAACTCCAAGTAACACAGAGTATTTCTGACCTGATAAAATATTACTTAGAGCCTAAAAAAGTAGTTGCCAGAGAAGCAGAAGTATTCTATGAGAGGCTAGCTGATAACAAACCCATCACTGTTCACTGTATCAACATAAAAGAGATCCCTGACTCCTTGTGAATCACTGATACTCCACTGCATTATTCAGCCACCCTGGTACCAGTAGAGCTTTGTGTTTCAGGATATTGCAATTCAGCCTCTATCTGCTGAGCAGGCATACCTAAGTATAGCTGGGAAAAATATTACACCATGAAGATGATCTAACTTCATGCATTTCCATCTTATGTGAGAGAATCAAAAATACAATTAAATTAAGTAATCTCTTGAAACACCCCTGAATTATTCACTGAATTGTATGAATGATGAGATTAGACAGCACATTAGAACTGGAAGACTTTTAAGTCCATGGCAGTGATGGCTATTGTTTGTTCTCTATTGTCAACAATAATTAAAACTAGATGTTTCATTTCATTCAATTAAAACATGCCTATTCCTAAAGTCCACACTGTTCTGGTGTCATTAAATTTTATGTAAAATTTGTGTCAACATCTAGCCTTTCCTCACGTACCATGTTCTGACATTCAAACAAGTCAAAATCAAGAAGTCCCCTGGCCTTTGTTCTTACCTTCAATCACCCCTGAAGTAGAGCTGCACTTTAATGTCTCTAGGTCTGAGACAAAGAAATAATATGTATGTGATAACCCTGAAAGAACCTCATTCACCATTTCATTAAAATGGCCTTTTTAATTTTACACACTCCACAGCTTTTTTAACGTGTAGAAAGTCTGTGATATTTACCATTAAAATTTAATTTTTTTCAATGACTTTTAAAGAGATCAGAATTTTTAATTTCTGAAACATTAGGTCTTTAAGATGTGTCTGTAACACAATTTAGTAGACATCTGCTAACATGCTTCATAAGCCATTCCTACAAAAATATTGATGTGGCTAAGTCACATCATCCATTAATTCATGTGCTACTCAGAGAACAGAATTTACAATGCTCTGAAATCATTAAAATGTGTGATCCACATAGCAATGTTGCAGGAAAAATATTTAACTATGAAAATTTGCATATCTAGGAATGCAGCAGTTTTTTAAAATAATGTTAAAACATTGCTGTACTTATTACAGCATATTTGCATGACTGAAATCCATTTCAAGATTATTTGCTCACAAAAATCTAATAGGTTAAACATAAATCAAAATAGTAAGCCATGAAAGTTTCTCTTATAACTACTTGAATAACTTGCTTGATGAAGTAATTAACACCTAACTTTCAATATCATCAGACTATTCAGCTGGAGGCCAGGTAGTATTCATGGCAGTTATTCTCTAGTCAGTGATATTATATATTTACTGACTTCATCTATGTGAAACAGATTTAATACTGTGTACACAGTATTTTACTAAGCTACTCTATCATTTCACAGTGAGCTCTAGCACAGGCCATCATTCTTCAATTTAGAACACCATTTTGAATATAAGCATAAAAATATGTCGTAAGAAACAGACTGACTTGGTCAAATTCTCTCTCTCATATAAAACTTCACAGACCATTACAAGTAGTCTTACTGTTTTTACATACATTTTATATAATGCAGCCAGCCAACATTAGGCAGACTGTCCTAGAATTTTGTATCTAAAAAGACCTCAACCAGTACGAAATTATAGCCTGTATTTAATTTTTCAGATATGAGTTTCAAGGTAAAGACATCAGTTCACTTGTTCACGACAAGTAACGATAGCCTGTAATACTAAAACCCATAATACAATTATCATATCACAAGCTTTTCAGTACTTTCTTCCCAGACAGTGCCTATAAACTGAATATAATCCATTACACTGCACATTTATACCCACTTCATTTCTTCCAGAGGAGTCAATCTATCATAACACCTCTTAGAAGCAAACAGTGTATGATAGCAATAATAAGGAGTGTCAATATACAGTTTCAAAAAAAAAAAAAAAGGACCACGGACCCTGTAGTAGATATATCCTGTACTGTGATCTTCTGGTTTCTTTAATATTTGTATTTCGTGCTCCTTGTCTAAACACGTCTGTGTCTGTTTTCTTTGTAGGTGGTAGATATTTATATGAGCAGTGCCCTTGTAATTCAAAGAGTCCCCTGTATCGATTGTCTTCCCAAACGAACAAGCAACCACCAAGACTCACAAGGCACAGGCAGCCCAAATTTTGAACAGATTTTACTAGCTCAGCAACAGTTCTTCAGAAGGAAATATGAGTAATAAAAGGCACAATGCCACAGCAACATTTCAGTTTAACTTTCCTTCTGGGGTAACAGAACACTTCGATGGATGTATCACTTCGTCAGTTTATACAGGGAAAAGGGAAACTTTTTACAGACAAAAGGCTCGGATTTGCAGAAACTACTTTCCTTCTCTAAAACCCCTGGGAACCAGAGGAAGTACATTTCTCATTTGTCCTCAGAAGCTGTTAATTAGACATGTCTTAACATTTTCCAAATCTTCATAGCTCAGCTATACTCACATTGTTCTTAATTGGAACTTAAGTGCATGGTGCCTACCTTCTCCATAAATTAGGTTTCTCGCTGGACTAAAATCTTGCATTAATCATGGTTCAAAAATTTATTAGCATTTCATTTCCTAAGGCTTTCACAGAAATACCGATTTATGGTAAAGTTCAGTAGAAACATATGGCAATACATTCACTGATCCTACGTTCACTAAAAGTCTTGAATGCACTTAAATTAGGACTACAGTTCATAAACAAATTTCCTTATACAAAGATGTTTCATATACAAAACATCTTTATTAAATGCTAATAGGTTTCTAAACAGTGCCTTATTTTACTTTGATTGCCACTATCTTTGGAAGTCCATGGATCATTATGTTCTTGGCAGAGTTATAGTATTTAACCAATATTTTCCCTAGAATCAATAATCCAAAGAGTAAGTCAAGTAGTTCACTAAAAAATGATTATTCACTGATTAGCATTCAAAGAAACAATTTGATAACATACTGAGGGAGCACTCAATCCCCTAATCCAGATCACTGATAAAGGTGTTAAACAAGACTGGCCCCAAAACTGAGCTCTGGGGAACACCACTTGTGACCGTCCACCAGCTTTTCATAGAAGACTGGAAACAATCATAAAAAAATACTACAAAATAATGATTACTGAAAAATTCTGCATTTCACGTTCTTCAATATCTTATGTATGCAAACGAATTAGTCCAGCAACAACAGTAAACATATGATAACAGAATCATTTGTTTACCAACATGCATTATATTAAGAAAAAAAATTCAGTAAAGCAAGATAACTTTCTCACTTAGCTCACAGTAAGGCATATGTTCCTATTTAAATAAAGTAACCACACAACAACACATCCAGCCTTCTGAAATTAAAATCAAAGTTCTAAGTCCTTATATGGATTCTAGACATTTACAAAATATTCTTGCTAATGTACATGTATCTTATTTTTCTTTTCATTCTTCATATTAATACAATGAAACTATTTCTTAGCAGAAAACTATTATTACGAATGTTGGTATTATATTTTGAGGGGATTAAATATGCAGTACAGCTGCATCTTTGTCAATCTGTCTTTTCAGTTTATATGCGATAGTGTTGCCTAGAGTTAAAAACAATCACAGCAAAAAGAACTGGGAAGTTAAAAAATGAAGATCAAATGTCACCAGCATATACTCAGATCATTTGCTTGAGGACTTGCAGAATACTGTTTAAACGCTTACCTTAACTATCCCACGGATATGCATTTTTGCTATCATCTCTGCAGTGTAAAGAAACATCAACAGAGTGTCAAGAGCAAATGTCACATACTGGAGAGGAGGATAATGCTCAAAGGTTTTTGGAGTGTTCATACAAACAGAAATAACACTGATGATGGCACAGATTCGTAGCAATGAGTGCACCCACTGAAAAAAAAAGCAAAAACAAACCCAAGACATTGTGAGATTGTTTTCATGTTCAAAAAGAGCTCAAATATTTAGCCTTCATAACTTGTACTGGCACTTTCTGTAAACACGTTTGCGTTTTTCTTTTACACCATGATTCACATATTAAAGGTCTTCATCCAAAAATAAGCGCTCCTGACTTTATTTTGGTTTTATATATACACACACACATATATGTATGTGTATATATATACATATATAATTTTATTAGTTAATTTGGGAAGTTGTAGAATTCAGAAACCAAGAATTAAGAATGAAGAAACTGAAAATTAGGATTCCATCATTTCTACTTTGTAGCTTTTGTAATCCGATTTCTCTTCAAATGACAACTTGTCACATTTATGTGCAGACAATAAGTGGAATTAGTTGATGTTACACATTGGGTGAATAAATTAAATGAAAATATCTGTGGAAAAATTTAGTTCCACATTCAGATGAACTGATTTTTAAATCAGTTTACAGTTCCAAAAATTAAGTGAGAGGCATGGGGATTAAAAGTATTCTTCCATTTATGAAAAGAAAAAATATAAAAGAGACCATGTCACAGAAAGCTACTTTGTAACATCACGATTCACTTTTCTTCCAAACAAGTTTTGTTGCTATAAGAGAACAGTTCACTTCTATGACTACTTCGGGCTCAGTCCCACTACAATCATTATTAATAAGGCTGATATTCAGTGCCAGTCACAGTGAGAGGTCTAAGAAAATAGTAGAATGTATCAATACAGGGGTTTAAGGATGCATTTTTTTTCTTTTAAATTAAAACACCACTGAAGCATCTTGAAGACAGACAAATGTAATGAATCACAGTTGATAAGGTCATATCTATCAAAACAAGAAGAAAAAAGATACTTCAACATGAAAAAAATTTTCCAAACAAAAAAACCACTGAAGCGTGTTTACAGCAATTTTTCATCTGAGGAACAATTCTACATTAATTCACACCACCTCAGACCTTTTGATACCAACAAGATTTAAGAACACTCGCCTAACTTAACACTCACTGTACACTCACCAATGCGTAATGATAGTTGACCTGAACTGAATAGCTCTATCATTCGCATACTCTGAGCCCAAATTAATAATCTGGGCCTGGAAGGCACATGATGAATGATTTCTTATGTCCCTTTAATATCCACTTTGTTTCAAATCTTGTTTCAACTGAAAAAATTAACATAAATATTAGAAGTGTGGCTGGTATCAAAAATGTTGTCTGCCACAGTAAAATGTCAGTATTGTACATGCTAAGCAATATACAACTAGTCCATCTCCACGACAAGAAAAAAATTATTCCATCAAAAAGCTGTGTACTGTGTGCTAAGAACCATAGGTAGATAAACCAGCATATATTTCGATGACATTTTGAGCTTATAGCAGCAGTCAATACAAATATTCTTTAAAACATTATGTAGCATAAATTAATATATGGGTATTGTCTTGCCAATGATTTAGGTGTTAAAACTCAGCAGAAAAGCTGAGGGGATCTGGCACCCATGCCACAAATCATATGATAGTTCCATTAAATGAATGTAATCTAACAACGTGTATTATTTCAGAATATTTGACTTTCTGTTGTTACAAAGTAAAAATTTATACACTACTTGAAGAGAAATGTGAAAATGCCTTCTCTGTAAAACATAAATCATTCAAAATTTAGGAATCTCAGACATACGCTGCCTGTTGAATAAATAATTTAATCATAATAACCATATTTACATGGCAAAGGCATTTTCTTAATACTGCACGTTCTATTAATAACTCCACTTCCAAAGAAGCTTTCCCCAGTTTTAAGTTGCCAGACACTTAACATACACCTATCTATTGCTTAGGGCAGGTTGTAGGTTAAATGATACCAGAAAAATGTGAGCTGTACTTCAAAATAACCAGCCAAAATATACTTTTATATTCATAAGTGATGTAAAAGGAGATTCAAAAGTCAAAAGTGTCAACTGCTGGCTACCACTGTAGCAAAAAAATGCTCCTTTAGACATCCTTTTCAAAAGCTTGTTTTACAAACTTAACTTCTAATTTCAACAAATGTTAGGAACCAGAGACATTGAAATAATGGCTGTTTAAAAAAACAATCAGTAGATTAAGTGGTTGGCAAACACTGTTTGATAATCCCCATCTGTCTGCAGCAACCAAAAGAAACCTTTTTTTGGATCTTTTGCAAAAAATGAACTGGCAGATTAGCAACTATAGCTCAATATCCGTTCCTGACAAATAAGTTTAAAATCTTTTGTGGAAGTCATATTTCAACAATACAAGTTACATTTAACTTAAAATTAGTAACTACAGAAAGAGATACCCACTGGTTTGTTAATCCACAGAATATCTGCATTGTCTGACAAAGATTCATCAGGACCGAAATCTGTAACTGGCTGGGTTTCCACCCTTGAACTTTGTTTCCTTTTTAGCATCCTGAAGTTAACTTTTGTTATCTATAATCAGGAAACCTCCTTGGGGAGAAAAAAAGAGCAGACATTAATTCACTCCGACCATTTCAGAATGCATTTTGAACAGCTTTACAAACAACCTGGAGCATTTTGTTTTCATGCAAACTGCTTTTGTACTTAACGATTAACAGGATCTTCATTTTATTAAAAAGCTTTGCCTATATAAATCACTGACATGACTCTTGTTTGTTTAAAAAAATTTACATAAAGGTATGCAATGCAAACAATTACTGGAAATTTGCTGACAGAAAATTCATACCAATATGCATAGAATGCTATTGCTCTGAACTTAAACCCAGAGTAATCATTGGATGGATTTGACCTGGAGCCATTTAATTTAATGGTGACATTTCCATTTATTACACTAGGCTAAGATAAAGCCCAACAAGCCAAAGGCAAACAGGCGATGTTAAGCATCCAACAGATGTTAGTTCTTTACTGAAATCAGAAGAGTCTTTTTGCTACATATTACTATTAACACGCATTTTTCTAATCCTTTTTTTTTTTATATTAGCAATTATCTATCCAACAGCCAGACAGCTGGCTGTCTCTGGGGCTTGTGTTGGCACATGGAAGCACTGATGAAAATGTGTTCTTTCCACAAGGTCACGCCGAGTCTGGACACTCCTGTGCAGCTGGCACAGACTGAGCATTCTGTACAGTCAGCAACGTGAGCCACGGCTAGCAGACACACTACGAGAGCAGACACATGGGCTAGATCTCACTATGGACTTTCCCACAGACACAGTACACAGATCTCAAAGAGATGAAGTAGATACACTCTTCCAAGGAAGAACAGGCTGCCCAGAGGGGAGCACGGGACTTGCACAAAAGCTGTCATTCATGAAATACAATCCCTTACAGATTTTTTTTTCAGGAAAGCGAAAGAGAGGGAGTAAGCTAGATCTCAGGACCTTGTTGTGTACCTTTACTCTGGATCAAGTGTGGTTTGTAAATGACACTAACTGGAAAGTTTGTCAAAAATAGTATAAAATGGAATCATAGAATGGCTTGGGTTGGAGGGGACCTTTAAAGATCATCTAATCCAAGCCCACCTGGCACGGACAGGGACACCTTTTACTAGACCAGGTTGCTCAAAGCCCTGACCAACCCGGCCTTGAACACTTTCAAAGATCTACATCTACAACTTCTCTGGGCAGCCTGTCCCAGTGTCTCACCACTCCCACTTTAAAGAACTTCTTCCTTATGTCCAACCTAAACTGTCCCTCTTTCAGGTTAAAACTTTTGCCGCCTTGTCCAGTCCCTACAGGCCCTGGTAATTACAGGCCCAAGTACCACAATGGTGACTGCAACATGAACGCAAGAGACCCTGTCCACAAACAGCCGGAGGAAACAGTGGGCTCAGGACTGCAGAGGGACCCGTGTGCTTGGTCTCAGCTGGCCTTTTCACCACATAGGCTGCTGCTTCACGTTTGAACACCTATACATCCTTCACTGTCTCTTCTTTTAGCTATTATGGCAAACATAACCTATTCACCTTCTTCCAAATCCCTCAGAGTTGAGTCTACTCTACTCTACTCTTATTTACTCTCTTTCAGATTCAAGAGGCCAGCTTCCGTCTCTGTAATTCCCCTGCTGCATTTTTAGAAGAGTCCTTCTGTGGTTTCTTTGACCGTGTCTCTCCACATAACGAGCTCCATATGTGAGCTCCTTGCAAGCTTCTGCAAGGTTTTGCAGTACCTCTTTCATATCTGTCAGTAAACTAAAACTCTTGATCGTGATGACTGTGCCATCAGTACGACCTCGTGTTTTCCTTCCTATATGCACCTATCTTGTATCTCCTGTCTAATATTTAAAAAACAAGTCTGAACCATTGGTCTATCTTAGTATAGACCATCAAGCAACAGAGTCAAAGTCTCGGACCGATGCTCCCAGCTGGAGGAGCTAACATTACGCAATAATTGCTTTTTTAAAATAAACAGAAATTTTATAAAGGCACAAAATAAGGGACAACTTCTGACATCTTTATTTGTGTTGGATGGTCAGTGACAACAATCTTGGCACAAATGAAACCAGTAAGCTGTCACTAAAAAATATGCAAATATTGTAAAATAAACATTATAAATGGTCTTTCTCTAACAAATGAAGACTGAAGTAATATCCATACAAGTTGTACGTTCTCTTAACCCTCAAGCTTCATGCTCCAACTTCTTTGCCATAACTGAACTCACTACTTCCTCCTCTTTAGCAATTTTTTCCTGCTTTCTCCTATTTATTTCTAAGCCTAATGTATTGACCTATTTTCTCGACTTGGACCAAATCATAACCAGAAATGCTTGAAGCCTCAGAGATGTTGGTATACTTTTTGAGGTCATGAAGTCTTAAAGTGGCTACATTTAGCACAGTGATACGAAGTTTATTCCAATGTCTTGGGAGCTGCACTTCTCAAGATCTTAGAAAAAACAAAAAGACACTTTCTAAAATGTTTCATGCAAATATGTTCCTTTGGAAACTGTTACTCAAAAGCTAATCAGTGAATTAACAAAATAATAATTTTATGTTTACCATTTCTGGTAATGGCTATGACAGTGCTCCTAGTCAACTCTTCAGAAAATATGTACCAACAAACAGAGAACCAATAAGATAAGTACAATCAATAATTATGAGAAAAGGCTCAGGATATGAAACACTGACAAGCCACTATTTTTTTTTTTTTTATAAATGACACTAAATAACAAGCTGTGTCCATTTGGGGAAGAAATTAGGTAATTATCAACTGTCTGTTAGAAAGGCTCTGTTGTTTTTATGCTTTTCTCAGTATTGCTTATTTATGCATCTGATGTGCAGGAAGATTAGCCATATCCTTATAATGAAACTGCCACTTACCCTTTTACCCAGTGACTTTTTTTTTTTTTTAATTGATCTAGGCACAGAAAATATTGTGAAATTATAGATGTCCACTCAGTTCACATACTTAAATGTTATGACTAAAGAGATCAGAATTCTTATTTTTAAGAGGTGACCTTGAATAAACATATCACCATGTATACAAATCCAATGGAAGGGAGGAAACATTTATGGAATATAAGAATCAGCTTGTTTACTTCTCTACTTGAAATGAGCAGAAATGCCCACAAAAAAATGCAAAATAAAGATGACAAGCCAAGAATCTTCTGGAAATGGTCTTCAGCAAGATTACTGAAAGTATAGCATGGCTGATCTCAAGCTCTTATACAAATTTTTGTTGTTATTCTCCCTACTTTTATTTTTCCAGGCAACGCGCAGGCTCTCACATGTGTCTGCTACTGTAGAGCAACACAAAGCCCAGTGCAGCCTTGGGACGGCCGTGTGTGTAAGGAATTTTAACTCTTGGACTACAATCCCTTCTACACCTGTTTCTGCAAGCGGGAACCAGCTGAAAGATGAAGAGGAGAAAGCGAGCTGTGCACGAGCTCGTTCCAGCATGAGACACGCAGTGAGCACCACACCAAGCTGTGCTAAAGGCAAGGCTGTAGTCCTCCCTAATGCCGACCACAAATTCACCCCTGCAGCTCCTGCATTGATTACGACACACATCATTAGGTCTTTCTTTGATCACAACCTGTTATTAACATGAAAGGCTTAATACTTTCTCTAGGATACATTTCCAGCTCCAGAGTTTTTAAGAGAAAATGGGTGCAGGGCAAAGACAAGTTTTGAGACAGGAAAATACCATGGAGCTTTGGGGCTACATTCGCTTCCCATTTCTTCACAGTATTTTCTTCACAGTAACAATGAAAATCCACAGCACAGGTGTCAACCTTCTCAGAGATGAATGTAGTGTCTTTGCTTTCAAATCTCTATTTTTAGAAGCAAAGACAAATTAAAAGAAGAAAACTGAACAGAAAATTACTCACATACTGAGCCCCTTCAGATCCGTTTGGTTAGCCTTTCTTCTTCTTTCCCTGAGCTTGCAGGTATGTTCACTATGCTATCTAAACCACCACCAACCACTAAATTTGCAGCTTCTGCTGAAATTAAAGTGTGCTAGCACAATAGTTGGTGAACTTAAGACCCACTGTGTACTTGGGGAAAAAAAGTCTAAAGGTTTAATCCCACTTTGTGATAACCACACTAACCACAAGACACTCCTGCTGACAGAAGTTTGCACTTCCTACAAAAATCAAAGGACAAATTTTGAAAAGTAGCTGATTCTACACAACATCAAAAGCTGAGAAGTCTGTGTCTTATTTATAAAGCAAGCTCACTGTACACACCATAATCTACTCAAGAAATCTCTATCACCAAGTGAAGAAAACATGCTTACAAATGCTGTGGTAGACAAAGGAGGCAGTTGAAAAATGACTTCACAGAAAAATAAATAGGAAAACAAAGCAGATATTCCCACCTACGACTCATGGAGAGAGTTTAAAAATCAGACAAATCCTTGGAATCAGCAATGTCTGGCTTCCAACATACTATATTCCCTGCCTATTGACTTTGTCACCTGAGATCATGTAAGGTCCTCCCAGGGCTGGCCACCTACAAGCAGTCTCTTCAACGCCGATTCTCTCTACTTTGAAAATGTCAGCTCCCCTTCCAACTCTTTCCAGAGCTAGGACACACAAAGTGGCACACACGCTTCAAAGAGAATAATTATCTTTGAACCTTTTACTATCTGTGAAAGCTAAAACAGGTGACAGGAAGAGGACATGAACACCCATACATATACCATGACGACAAAACTCCACTTCCATACCATACATTTAAAAAAAAAATCAAACTACAGGCTACCTTAAAGAAGAAACTGCTCTTAACCGTAGTACGCATTATACGGTTATAGGAAAAATCTCAGTTGTCATTCTTTCACTTCAATAGCCTTCTCCTTTCCCTCTTAGCAAATTGCAGCTGTTTCTCTATTGCCTGCTCCCTCCATCCCCACATTCTTCCATCCCAGCTTTTGGGTGCAGGTACAGCTGAAGGGCATTTCAGTATTTGTTTCCATGTAGCAAAATATTTGTAGT